CAATAAATTTCTATAGAAGTTACTTAATGAGTAGACTGTAAGATTTTTATTTTGACATAAACAGTACATGCAAGTTTATACTCAGAAAGATTAAATAAAATTTTCAGCTATGGCAATCACTTACTTTTTGAGTTTGTTGTGGCCAGGATATAAATCCCATACCCTCTTTCAATAGGGTGCTCCTGCATTTGATGGCCATGCTTTTAGAATGATGGCTTCCGTTTTAGTCTCATTGATTGAGGTATTGTCATGCATATTTACATTACGTATCTACTTTGCATATAGAAATTCATTGTTGGCCAGCGATGAAGCAAAGTAATCCTTTCTTTGACAATCAACTGGGGCATATAAAGCGACATTGCGTCTAGCAAGTGCCACACCACGTCCTGTTCATGTTGAGCCATGGTTTTGGTTGGCAGGGAATTGGAATCTTGCTAAATGGGCTTTTTGGAACATTGACCGGTTCAACAGTCTTGGTGTAAGCACCACTTCTTCATGCCCTTAGCTTTTACTTCTCATCGGACATGAAACTGATGTTTTTAAGGCTCTTAACAGGGAGAATGTGGGGCTTCTAGGAAGCACTCGAGTTGGAAGCGGCAGGGTCATTCAAATTTCAGCTGGTTTTATGATATTCTTCTCAATGCCTTGTTAGTTCAAGCTCGAATATAATTTGCTTGTTTCTGCAGGAAAGTTTGGAGCTTTGATTGCTTCAATACCCTTCCCTCATTCTTCATGCTAACATCTTTATGTGTTACTTTCAGCTTCTTTTTTCCAGCTTCTGTTGGCCTATCATTTTTGCAATACCAACATGAACTCGATGGGGAATCTATTACTGGGGTTGCCCTTTTCTTGGGTTTGTCAATTCCTGATCATTTTAGAGAGTTCTCAGCCAAGGCCCTTCATGGTCCTGCTCATTCCAGGGCTGGATGGGTGAGTTTGATGCTCTATCATCTAATAGTTCAATTCATTATTTTTTTAGTATCATCAATCATCATCAAAGGGCAAACTCAAATTAACTTTTATTTTTCCCTATCGTCTTTCGCAGTTTAACGATTTCTGCTGCCAGCTAAATTTGCACTAAAAAGTCTTTGTATATCTTTAGAGCCCATGAATCCATAGAGTTAATTCCATCCATGCATACCTTCATACAAAGCAAACTAGAACTATATTTCATAAAATCGGTATTCTCACATAAACTAACAAAATAAAAATAAAAAAGTCATCTTTCTTAAATGAAGAAAAAGATGGCAAGCAAAATAAGAAAATGGCAATAATACTTTACAGGAGATGAAAAAGTCATTGTCAAAAACTAAAATGATATATCACCAAAATGGCGGTGAGTCTTCAAGCAACGGAGTTCGATTGACCATTAAAAATCTAAATCAAATAAACTATTTCTATTTCTATTATTAGAATTGTTGAATGGTTGAACTTAACGCTTCATATTTCTTCATAGTTATAAAACGGTTTGTATAAAAACAGATTAATTGAATATGAAAAATATCCCACGGAAACACACCGTGTATTTATCTTTTCTAATAACACAGTTATGAAAAAGACTCTTCATTTCACTTTTGGCATTCTCCAATCGATGGCACAGAGAGCATTGAATGTAGATCGTTCGATCAGGCATGATTCAATGTATCTCCTGCTGTGCAATAGTAATGGAAACATCAATTAAATGTTTCATGATTTGGGAGTAAAAAGATTACTGAGTACATGAGGTCATAGAAAGTATGCATGATGAAAGGCATTTATTATCATCTTTAAAGGTTCACAAAGTAGTCAATCAAATAGCATCGTCCATGCACAGCTTCATTCAAAACAACATAGGTTTATGTACATATCAGATAAGTGTTTGTGATAAAAAAAACACATCATATATGCAGAAATACTTCACATGCGCGAATTATCATTCTCCTCATTTGTTGCCTTTAGTAAAAGGCTGTTAGGATTCAGGAATGTCATTGAGTTAGAGAGATGGAAGAGATACAGAGAAAGATGCCTCCGAGGCGAAAAGTGGGGGAGGTTAAGACAAGGAAACTTGAATAAAAAGCCAGAGGAAAAGTTATAGAGGGTTGGCATTGATTCTTGCCCGTGGGTTGTTAAGCTCGGTTGGTACTTTCATCTGCCTTTGAACTCTTATTCATAAAAATCGAAAAGTGGCCAGAGTTTCTTAGAATAATGCGTTGAACAGATGTAACCAGTCCTAAATGCAAGTATTCTTTCTACATCCTTGATATGGAGTTATTCCCGAAGAATTCGAAGAATATTATAATAGGGTGAGCAATAATGGCTAGCATAAAGTCTCACATAGGCAAGTGAGATTTCAATTGCATTCTTTAATGCCCAAATAAAAGGCACGCACCAATTCATTTGCTCATTAGTTTTACTTATTAATTATAAGGGTCTAGCTAATTTTTTATGCATCATGTCTAAATTCATTTAATAATATCACTTTTACCAATACAACGTTGGCTTGAATGTTTTCTCTATTTCACACTTCTTGTTATACTCTTGTTAATCATTGTATTTCCCATATCCAGCTGACTGCTGCAACCATCCAATTGATTGTTTTAAGTAGAAACTTATGAATTTATAGGTTGCAACTAAACTTGAGAAAAATTTCTTCTACCTATCATCCTATTTCTTCAATAAGGCATGAAACACCTTTCAGGATTGAAGAAGATTAGAAGTAGAGCCATTACATAATGTTAGTATTTTCCAATTGCTTAGTTTAAGGCAACTTTTGAGATCAACTTTGAGGAACCTATAACTAAATATGCAGGACAGAAGGGATTGATTAGTGTAAGTTAAGGGGATTGCAGACAATTATTGGCTTGTTCATAAATCAAATTATTCCTCGTTGATATAGTGGTGAAAAAGCTTCACAACAATGTTATTGTAATTAAGCAGGTTTATTTCTTTCTTTCTTTCTTTCTTTCTTTCTTTCTTTTTTTTGCAAAAGAGAGAAGCCTAACTGCTGCTATTACCCAAAGAGTCTAGAACCAACAGGGTGCTGATCTCATGGGGATCACTAAACTGACAATGACCCAGCCATGCTTGCACAGCTTGTTGTGCTAAATAGTCAGCTACTTTGTTCATCATCCTTGAAGTGTGAATCACTGAAATGGCCCTATCAACTGTGCAAGATGCTCGAATGTCTTCAACCAGCCTTTTTATCCTGGTGCGATTCAATATCACCCCCCTTCACAAGCTTGGCTACTTCCAAGGCATCAGAGGCCACCATAATCTGACGGAATCCCAGATCCCAGGTTTCGTTGAGTCTCATGAAAATTGCCCACAATTCTGTGCTCAGGCTATTCGTCCCAATCGATCCTAGCATGAACCCCGATATAAACTTTCCACTGTGATCTCGAACCACCCCTCCGTAGCCACCTTTATTCTCCCTAGGTTTATTTCCTAGTACAGGGAATATTTAAATTTTAAAGGATATCAACCAAGTTACCTGTTCTCACTTTTTATATGTGATTTACATTGTTAGTTGTTGACATATCATGTTTTCCATTAGGAAAGTGACGTTTTCTTCAATATAAGTTACTGAGAACCTCTCACCTAGTAACCTTTGCTGCATAGGCGGACCTACATTACATTCCCCTTTTAATTTTTGTTGTAGATACGTCAACGAAGTTGCCTTGACAAGCCAATTGATTCAGGCAACTTATTCAAGCCACTGAAGAATTACCATGACAACACTCTTGCAATTTATGATCTTCCAATTAATTAAAATGAAAATTTTTAAAACAAAGCAAGAAAAGGTGATGGCATCCGACGCAAGGTTGACAATGAACAAGGAAGCCCAAGAAGAAATTTTTAACGAAAGTAAATGAAAGACTTGAGCTGGAAAATTCAATACTCAATAGTAAAACAGGAGAAAATAGGAAAGTCACTTAACTGGTGCCAAAACTTTTGTATGCTTAACAAACCTAGCAGAACAACAATTTGAAACAATGACCCCTGCTTCTACAAGAAACACGAAATTCAATCCATTCACTTGTTCTGGAATATAGATAAAAGACAGTGTTCTTGAAGAAACCTAAACCTCAATGGATACAACTAATAGTTCAAAGAGTTAGACTAATAGAGAAGCAAAAATTGGCATTTCTTTCTCGCTTCTTCTTCTTCTTCTTTTCAAAAGCAATATGAAGTTATGAACATAAATGTTTAGAAATTGCTTCTAAGGCAGAACAACTCACCAACCAACTCAAGATATCGCCAATCATCCATATTCAAGATGATTTTGTTTGGTTTCTTCGTCCCTCTTTTATTTTCCTCATCATCATGGCATCCTGGCCTGAAGTCGCATCATCGACGGTTCCTCTTTAAAATCGATCAACCTGACCCTGCATCGTCGCATTGTCACCAGATCTCTCAATCTCCTCACACTTTAAGAACAGGGAAGCCTAGAGGTTTCCCTCCCTGTCAGAACCAAAAAGCAAAAAGGGAGCTCCTATCGATGATATGGAGAAGCAGGTGAAGAAGAACATGGAGGTAGAGAGAGAGAGTGAGCAGCAAGCTTTTAAAATGAAGAAGACGAGACAATGAGAGAGAGAGGGGTGAAGAATGGGGAGGTGTAGTCCGAACAAAAAGAATGAGAAGGTTTTTCACGTAAAAGGTGAATTTTATTCAGCCATGAAAAAGACAACACTTGAAGAAAGTAGAGGCTCTAGACGAAGCCCAAGCTTTTAAGCTTTCCATGTACGAAGGCCGAAAATAAACCCATTTAGCTTAATAAGCCAGGTGGCTTACACGGCTTTATAAATAGTAGTCTGAGTCTAAAGCCACATGAGAAGGATCGACTTGGTGGAACTCTCTTACAGGATGTATTAATAAGCTAGGTGGCTTACACGGCTTTATTAACAATAATCTGAGTCTAGAGCCAGCATCAGCTTAGTCAAACTCTTACAGGATATATTAATGGCAATCTTTTTCATAAGCTTCAATGAATTAAAACCTCGCCTTCAACTTCATTGGACGTGCATGCTGGTTGGAACGCTTAAAATATATTTAACCAAAAAAAGAAGCAGAAAAGATACGAGAGGCTGAGATGCAGCAAAAGATAGTAATATAAGCGGCGCTTAGGTACGGAATCGTGAATGATGTTTTGACACTTGAAATGAGGACTTATCCGCATCGTTTTGGCGTCTTTCGGAGTGGATACGCTTCGCGATGATCAAAACCCATCTTTTTCTCCGCCGCTGTTCCCTGCTTTTGCTGATCAATATTCTCGCTTCCGTTGACCTCTTCGTCAGCTCCGGTGAGAATTAACGTCTCTATTTCCCGTTCTCTGTGCCTTCGGGAGTTCAATTTCTTGATTCTCAATTCTCATGAATTCTGTCGTTCAGGAGTTTAGAACAGCGAGGTGAGCATGACCACCCAGTCGGATGCTCCTCCCAATGCTACTGATAACAAACGTCAAAATTCAGGTGGGAAATAGAATGCATTTAGCAAATTCCAGCTTTTTAAGGTCTGCCACTCTTTATGTTGTTCACCATAGTCTCAATATGGGCCTTCTTTTTTTGAGTTTCTGGTAATCCTGTTATCCCAACTTGCAACAGGTAGAGTCATCAGCCCTGCCAAATTCCAGAACGTCTTTTTTGTTATTTTGTTAACATATATTTGCACAAATTCCTTTATGAGATGAAGTTGAACTCATTAAATTTTCTTAATGTTGGCCTTATGTTCTGCTGTTCTTGGTGAAAGAAAAGGGTTTAGATTTGGGAATTAGTCTGGATATGATCAGGAGGGATACTGACCATTGACCTGTATCAATTAACATGGAAAAATTATCATTTTGATTGTGTTGAAGTACGGAGTTCCATTTTCTCTCCGTTTGGAAAATGATTATCTGCTTTCTGCTTTAGATAGCGTGAGCCTTTTCCATGCCTCCTTTATCTGCATTTCTTTAACTATGGCTTACGGGTATGGTGTGAAGAACTAAGCTATTCTATATGCTTGTCGCTTGAGATTGGTCCCTGCTTCACACGAAGTTGGATGAAAAATAATTTTTTGTATGATTCCTATGTGCTATACCAAGGTTTTTAAGAAGGAAACAAAATCTAACTTTCTAAAGCATGTTAAAAAAATCATAATCAAGCTGAAGCTTTAGTTAATTTTCAAAAGTGGTTTATGTATGAAAGACACATTTTGTTTATATTTTAAAAGTCAGTTTCCTTCTCATTCTCTCCTACCGTCTCCTGTTGAATTTTTCCATGCTTAATTGGATGTTCTGGCTGAGTGTTTCGGGTACATAACTTAGAATATTTTGGATTTGATAAAATTGAATTATCGATTCTCCTTTTTGAGGTTTAGGTGCTGAAATCACACAACCAACAAATATGGATCAGCAAAATGCCACTGAGCCTGTTAAACAAAGTTCGGCAACATCAGTCTTTGTGAACTCACAACCAATGCGGGAGGAACAAGTGCAGAATGCTGTGAAATTTTTGTCGCACCCAAAAGTTAAAGGTTCCCCCATCATCTACAGGCGATCTTTTCTTGAACAGAAGGGCCTCACAAAGGAGGAGATAGATGAAGCTTTTCGCCGTGTGCCGGTAAGCTAGTTGTTTGATCAGGTTACTAATTTTCTCTGCCCCCACTATTTTTCATTTGTTTGTGTACAACCCATTCAACTGATTCTCACTGTCAACATTGTTCAAGTATTTTAATCCTTAATTTCACTGTAATCCCAGGATTCACCTCCAAGTGTGCAGACAGCTGGTGTAAATCAAGGTGAGGAGTATAATGTTGAGGTTACAGTTGGGTCTTGTTTTTCCCCATCCTTCATTTGACTTAGACTCCTAGTAAAATCACCATTGTTATTATTATTATTATATGTTGATTTAGAGTGGAGTTGACTTGTGACTCATTTGCATTCCTTACCTTGTTTGTTGTGATACTCACAGATGGCCAACTGAGGCCATCACCAAATGTTCAGCAACAAGTCCAGCCACAGACTTTGCAGCCTGGTGCATCTGTTTCTACTGTCACCACTCCTTCATCAGGAACCTTATCTCGCTACAGATTTCATTGGTCCCATGGCCTTATTGCTGTTGGATTACTGGCCGCTTCAGGTGCTGGTACAGCTGTACTAATTAAGGTATATTCGGCTAACCTCTTTGTGTGCTGCCTGCTGGACTGATATTCTAGCACACAAAGGGCATCTTGCAGTGCTATGTTGATATGTTAATGCATCTTATTTCTATACCTTGTTTAATTTAACGACTTGCTACATGCATATAAGATTCGATATATATTGGTTTGAGCCACACTTAACAATCTGAAAGCCTACTTCATGTCTCAGAATTCCATTCTTCCTCGGTTGAAATCCTGGATACGCAAGGTAGTCATAGAAGATGAAGATGACCAGTTGAAGAGAACTGACTCAAAACCAACGTTGGCAGAAGAAGCTACGCAGGCTGCAAAAGAAGCTGCAGCTGCAGCTGCAGAAATGGCTAAAGTAAGCCAGGAAATGCTGGCTTCAAAAAGTGAAGGTTGATATTGTATATAACTTGATTGTTAGGCATAAAATTTTGTAGACTTTATTGCCCCCACTTATGCTTGACATCCATTGTTATTAATAGTATTTTTAATTGCTTCTGCATCTGATCTTACACTATGCAGAGAGGAGATACTTTGAGGTATATGCGAGCCATTTAGATGAGCAAGCACAGCAACTGAAGTTAATGACTAATGCAATAAAAAGACTGGAAGGTACTTCGAAATTGTTTTTAATCTATCAGCCTATACTAAGCTGTTTGATCCTATATTCATTTATTTTATAAAATGTTTGGTTTTTGACTTGCCGATTGTCCTTTTATATTTGTTTAGGATGCAAGTAATTGTATCATGGTGACTGTCTTGGCTTATGCATGGTGACCTAGATGTTTTGTCAAAAACTGCAATTTAATTATTCTCTCTGGATTGGTAACTTGATAAGCTGTGGCAAGAATCTCCTAACCCCCTTGCATTCCATTTTCATTTCATATTTTGAGACTTCCTGAGTAGGATAATTAGTAGCTTTTCATGTCAGAAATTCTAGCACACTTGCAACAGAAGATGCTGAATAGTTACCTAACTTTAAGTTCTTATTGATTATCCTCTGTTTCTGCCAAACTATGGGATAAACAATAGCCTCAAGTGGAGCCCCTCTCTCAAAGCAAGAATATCGACTCACTCAAGGGAGCTCAAAGGTTAGATATGCGCCCATGCATGCACCCACACATGTGAATGAGAATTTTTTCTCTAATAATTTCAGCCACAACTTTTACACTTAATTGTCTTGTCTTTTGGCAAAATTAATGTAATCTCTTCTTTTCTGGCACATGCAGCAAGTTTTTGTGAATGGCGGGGGGGAGTATGACATGCGATCAGGTTGTTATACGATGATTAAATATTAATTTATTTTATGTAATTTTTGGAATCTTGCATATAACTTATAAATGCAATGGGCAGTGAGATCTTCATCACCACCTGCTTCTGTGGAACCAGCTGCTGCTCCTCCATCAAAATCATATACAGATGTAAGCCATTGTCTTTTGGTTTTTTGGCCCATCCGTTACTTATTTGATGGTTATTGATTCTTGATCAAAAAGTTTGAACTTACAATCTCAAATAATTTTGTTAGTTTTGGAAGTAAATATCGATCAGTTTATTGTAACTGCTGGTATCCATTAATTCTCTCCTGATGGATCATGTTTTTAATGATATTCTAGGATCTCCATTATCCAGTGCTTGTTTTTAATATGGCTTCCAGGGGAGGAGTCAACTCTTTCTTGCCTGTTTATTATTTTGTCTGTAATGTAAACATTCGTTTCCTTCTTATGTAATCGTAACTTTGTCAGATTCTGTTTGGTAGGTTTTTTCCAGCCTATGTTTGATTTTCCTGAGGAATAAAATAAGCACTGATGAACAGTAAAATCTCTGGCTCTTCCATCTGTATCTCCATTCCATTCCTCTGTAATAGTAACAAGTGGAATACTCCCTCCAATAGGCTAGTTGGTTTGAAATCTCTCTAGCCTTTTTATTCTTTTTTGGGCCATCTAGATCATTGCTTCTTGTCACGGAGACTTTGTAAGGAAGCGAAGATTTGAAAGTTCACAGAAATTCTCATGCAGAGCTCCTCATTTAGTAAATTAATTGTTTGGTACTTCAGCGTTGATCATTGCCTAGAAGTTAATCTTTGAATAGATTGTTTCGATTTTCTTCATATTTGATGGAATTGATACAACTCTAATGCAGCAGTAACTCTTATCCTTGATACATTAAAATATTTTGATTGATTTATACTTTTATGTTTTGCAGATGACTGTCCCGGTCCAAAGAGGAGAAAGAGAAAGGCCTTCTAATATCAGAGTAATTCTTTAAGCTTTAAGCATTGGATGATTTTGCGAGTTTCAAAGCATCCCTTTGTCAATTGTTTAGTGCCCATGCGAGACTGACCAGTTGTTCCTTGGTTAGCCTTGGGAGCCCGGTCTGGTGCAAAGAAGCTACAATGAAGAGCATAGGACCCTAGTAAATGATGAAGAATTGATTTCTATGGCAAACACCATTCAATCAAATGGTAAGGACTTGATTTCTATGGCTCAGGACACCTTTCAATCTAATGGCGATGCACCATCGCCTTGGTGGCAGAGGAAAAATGTCAGAATCCAGGAGATTGAGAATGAGTATGAGCATAATGCAGCACCTTATAGTGCTCAATCTAGTGAGCAGCCCGTTAGACGTTCATGGATTCCTCCTCAGCCTCCTCCCATAGCAATGGCAGAGGCTGCTGAAGCCATTAGACGCCCAAAACCATCGGTCCCAAGGGAACAGGTATCAGATGATCAGTCAGTGGCTCATTCTTCAGACACATCTGATGAGATGCAGAGGACCCCCCAAATATCTGAACCTGAAGGTGCAATAGAGGCCGGCAGTGTCAAGTATGGCGAGGTACCTGATGGGGAAGCCAAATATGAAGAGAGTAATGAGTAAGAAGATTCTATTTTATCAGTTAAATCCACAATACGTGGAGTCGGGAGCAGGGCTCCTGGTACTCCCAACTTCTACATAAGCTTGGAACAATCTTGCTTTATAGCCATACGTATTCTGTATCTTGTGGCTTAGAATCGCTACAATAATAAATATCATGGTTTTGATTTCTTTACAAGACTTATGTCCTCTCCCTCCCTCCCTCCCCCCTTCTCTCTCTCTCTCTCTCTCTCTCTCTCTCTCTCTCTGCGCATGTGTTTTCTTTGAAGGCAAACATAATTTTCAGCCCCTATAAGGACTCAAATTACTGAAAAAATGAAAATTATAGGAACTTGAAAAATACAGGTTATTTAGTCTTTTTGAAACTATAGGGATTGAAAATATTAAAAAAATTATAAAAACTAAAAACAAAACTCGATGAAACTATAAAAATTAAAGATTATGTTTTCTCTTTGTTTTAACAAGTTGGATATCCTTCCTTTTCCTACAATGCAATACATGAGATAAATGGATATCCTTCCTTTTCCTACAATGCAATACATGAGATAAATAACAATTTAAAAACTCTTGGAAGATTGGAATAATAGTTCTATCATTTAAATCATGTCCAAATATGTAACAAAATTGAAAGGATAAAAGAATTTGCTGAGTCTGATAAAATGTGTGGAGACTAACATAATAACAAAACATGCATAGAAGTAACTGAAAATTGTACTATTCATAACTTAGGAATGATGTAGTTTTCTATAAATAATATAATCTACAGTAACATTGATTGATAATACTTATCACATTAGTTTTATATAAAGTTATCATATCCAAGACATGTGAAAATAATCAGGATTGCAACTAACTTATAATATCGCTTGTTAAGTTCTAGGAGAGTTGCATATAAAGCTATCATATCCAAGATATGTGAAAATACCGTTGCTTCATCTCCACCTTTCTTCTGGTTTTTGCAAATTCTTTCATTGTATCGAAACGTGAGCTCTGAATCTCGCTTTCCAATTTGCTTTAATCATTCTGTCTCAATAGCAACACAATCAAGCACGCATTCCAAGCTATATCCTAGGCCTATTTACCTCATCAAAAACTGAGGCACTTGATTTGGCCCATAGATATCGGCGAAGGTAAAAAGTTCAGATCTCAATTGAGAACAATAAAAAATGTTTATTTATCTATAAGTGATTGTCTCTTCTAAGAACTAAACCATTGATTATAGGTGTTGCATTAGTTGGTTACTCCATGACCATAACAGTTTCTATTCAAATTTCTTCCGCTATGCTTGAGCCTTACAGAGTAGGATGTTGATGACATAAGAAGGCAAAGTTGAGAGCCACGAGAAAGAATTAGATTCTGTGGCTGCAAATCTTGCAAATACTCAACTAAGAGAATACAATGCACATGACTTAATTCACAAAGGCCACAATATAGCAGGAAGAGGATCGTCCTACAAAAATTCACATTTAGTTTAGGCTCTAATGGGACTCAGTGGGACAACTGAAACTTACCTCATCAGTTAGTTATGCTAAACTTATATTTAGCCTCCGGCATCTGTCAAATAGAGATTCTATCTCAGCCTTAACAAAAAGAAGCTGTGAATGAGGAAATACCAAACCTTGCTCAGAAATAATACCTGGGCTCTTCTCCTACCCTACTTGTACCAAGCATAAGACCCAATAGGATATTAGGATGCTGCATGAATTTTCAAACTCAAGTAAAATCTAATGGTTCCATTATTAAGCATGAAGCATGCCTTACTGCTAGACATCATTGAAATTTTCTGACTCGTAAAACTTATAACCATCAGGGTCGTACTTGGCCATGTCAAATGGTTGGCATCTTCATTAACTTGACGTTAACAATGCATTCTTTAATGGTGATAGAATGCTGATGTATAGCCTTTAAGAAAGCTTTTTATGGGCTCAAGCAAACTTCTCACATCCAATTTAAAAAATCAAATGTATTCTCAAGAGCTTTAGCTTTCATCCTGCAAAGTTTGATACTTCACTCTTTATCAAAACCACTCACAGCCCACGTGTCTTGCACATCTTGGATGATATAATCATTTTATCTTCCAAATTTGTTCTTCAACAATACCTAATAAACCAAGGATTTCTCGATTACTTCTTCGTGGGTGTATCCGAATTCAAAGAACCATTCAAAGAGTTGATTCTTCTGACTCTGAAAATATATTCCAGATTTGGCTGATGGTCACTAAGGCTAAAATTCTAAGTACCAATACCTAATAAACCAAGGCAAACATTCTAATCATTGGTCCCGAGACTCAAGCTTACCACTTCGGATCCTTTAAGATACAAATCAATCGTTGGTGTGCCCTTCAAATAAATCATCATTATCAGACCGAAGTTGGCTTGCGCAGTTAATAATGCATGTCAATTCATACGATGAGCACACCACATCACATACTAAGTCAGACTCAAAATATATGAGTTTTCTTCTTTTCTGATAAATCTTTTCTTAACCATAACTATCCCACAAAAAAAAGGGGTTATTATAATTGCAAACATATGCTTGACTCTTTACCGATGTGTCTTGAAATTGATACTCACAATACTTTGACTAAATGCATTCAACGCTAGCATGTTGACTATCCAATTTTTTTAAGGGGGGAAAAATCATATCATCTTGATCTTTGAAGATTAAGCAAAATAACTCATTCTTTATTTTAGAATTCTTCTGTGCGTGAAGAATTTGCCGAATCTGGGTGTAAGATATTCAGAACTTCCGATTTGAAGTCGGAAATATAATATATTTTCTACGTATGAACATTGTAGCCAGCATTGGAAGTTGACATAAACTAATGAATTTATTTGGTAAACCAGCACTGAACGCAGCCACAGACTTTGTCTTATTGATAGGCTTCATTATCTGATGTTTGATTAAACCAGAAATAAAAAATTGACTAGAATATGTTATACGGTTATATATTTATTAATGACAATATAAAGTACAGGGGACACTGAAATTCATCACGATACATTTAACAACAATTTGTTGATATTAATAATTAATAACAAGGGATAGCCTTCTTTAGACGTTTATTTTGTCGGCACAGTTGACCATTTTGATTCTTTATTACCAGTTTTCCTATTATCTTTCTATGTTCTCTCACAGAAACATCATCAAAATCAAAAAATCTTCTTTTTAATAATGTTTTTAGAAGCAAACGAGATATTAAATCAGAATGGCCAATGATTCATGATTCACATGGTCCAATCGGGTTAGACCAATAGTTGAACCGTTGAAGTAATAATTAAATTAAATAAATTATACATGTATATAATTATCTAAATATGAGAAATAAATATAAAATTGTCACTTAGGTTAAAAATAGAACTAAATATTTTAAATTTATCATGACTTAACAAACGACCTGATATAACATAACATCAAATGGTTAAAAAAAATTAGTTATTTTTTAAAAAAACTGATAAAAAAATTTAAAAAGGGAAGGGTTTTTTTTTTTTAGCAATCCAGTTTTTATAAATATGATCTAGCTCTCCGTCCGACTATCGGTCCAAAGTGGCTTAATCCAGCCTAACCTTCAAATGGTTTTTTTGACATAATCAAGTCATTAATTTGATCAATTGATAGTTCGATCAATCTAATTGTTTGACTTAGTTTGTTTTTTAATCATTTCTTTTTAGTTTTCATTTTTATAATTTTTGCACAGTATCATTGGTGAAAGGTGGTATGAAAAGTGGTACTAATAAAGAATCAAGATTTTAGCTCGCTGGAAAATCTTCAAATTTTTTAAGTCCCCAAAAAATATAATTCATCATATATTTATGTTGGAATTTATACAAATTTTTTAATCTTTTAAAGGTGAAATATGCTAGTAGTTTTCATAAAATTTTACCTTTGCATGAGTTTGTTTTATTTTTTATTGTTAAAAAAAAAAAAAACTGACTCAGTCAATTTGAAGCACTAGTTTGAGTCAAACACCGGACTTGAAGAAAACGATGCGTGTTGGTATCTATAATACGGATTGTTGATTTATTTGTAAACAGCGATATACTTTCTAATGAATCTAAAATGCAAACAACGACATATGAATTAAAAAAAAAAATAGAGGTCGTTTTATTCAAGGTGAGGAAACTTAATACAGGATCCAAGACCAAAACAAGTACAAGCTTAATTTTAATGCAATTGAGAAATCCGACACAGAAAAATAAGGTTAATGATTTGTATGTAAACTCCAAACTCTGAAGGGAAGGCATCTTCAAGATTCATGCTTCAATGGATACCATATTTGCCTCCCCACGATGTATCATTCATACATGCAAATATAATGTTTTACTTATAGGATGAATTTTGATCATATTTCTTAGAGCATATGCATCAAATCACTAGATAAAATCTTCCTAGCTCGACGCAAGGTAGACCTATAATATCAGGTCTCTATGAAAAAAATGCCAAATCACCAAATAAAAAATAAAAAGATTTTTTTATTTTTAATCATTGTTCTCACTTTCATCATTCCTTCCTTAATTTTGTAGGAGCCTAGAAGGAAATGTTGGACTTTTAACTGTGCATCTTACTCATAGTCTCCCAAAAAAAAAAAACCATAATAATGATGATGACGATAATGATAATAATAATAGCAATAGCAGGCAAAATTAAAATTTTTGAATTGAAAATGACCGATAAGTAGATGAAATAAATTATTCAATAAATTTAGACCAGGGCATTTTGAGTGATTCATATAATCTATGAGATTAGTCATAAAAATTCGTTCTAGGTTCATCTTTAATTAGGATTTATAACTTAGTTATTTAGCTATAAAAGTATATCGTTATTAAAATCGAAAAATAACATGATATTAAAAGACAAATAAATTTCAGGCCCAAACATAAAAGTCATTTCCTAACCAAATGTACAGATCTCCTTAAACTATGAATGGCTCAGTGGTTAGCAGTGAAAACATTTCATTAAATACTGAAGAATTTGATTTTATATTATAAAGAAGGAGATACGATCAAGGACTACGCTTTATGTTAAATTTTCAATTTAATTTTAATACGTATGATAACGTGCATTCGTTTTAAATAATTAACAATTGATAAGTCACGTACGATTCAGGCCCATAGATTATGAAGGTTGAAAAGACATGTTTAATAGTGGGGGAAAAAACCGCAGCCAAGTTTAATTTTCAAAGTGGTCTGATATGTGTGGTTGTTGAAAACATTTTGTTGAGAGTGATTAATAAATGCAAGGGAAATTAGAACACGTTGTCCGGCTGCTAAATGCATTTTCAGCCAAACCCGTGCGTGCACCACGTGTTACCAGCTGCGTGCTGCATTACTGTTATTATTTTCTGTTTACTCTTCCTTCTTCATTTTTATATTTATACATCATTTAATTTATGCTTCTCAATCCTAAATAATTTACAGATTGAGTTGCTGTGTGTCATGAAAAAATAGGAAAATGATATTTCTGGATTAAATAATGAAGATAACGACACTTTAAAATCTCAAATTTTTAAGGATTTTTTTTACCCATATACTTGTATTAACGGTAATCCTATTTGATATATGATCAGATACTACCTCATCTAACAAAAATTTAAACTTTAATTTTTTAATTTATGATAATATAAGGGGCTAGCCTTTTTAACTAAACTAAACTCCTTAATTTCATTTGAGGATTTTTGTCTATCACATGTAAAAAATTTTACTTTACGTAGAAGTTGGAGATGTTAAAAAGATTGAGTTATAAATTTTAAAAATTAAGTTGAAATTCCTAAAGGCTCCATAGGAATCTTTTAATTTGATAATTTGTTCGTATTGTTTTTCTGACATTTTGGATGTGGATATATTTTCTCAGCTAGTTAGATTTAGGTATTTTTAAAATTAAAGAATGAATATAAAAATGACATTTAACTAAAAAAACATCTAAATTGATATTCTAATTCAACTCAACTTTTAAGGGTTTTCAACTTGTATATAAAGTAAAAACATGGGTGAAACTATAAATTTTTATTAAGAGGGGCCGAAATGATAAGATATATATAATAATTAAATAAAAATTAAATATGTATATATATCACTCACATAATATAAATATTTTAATATATATTTATATTCAATATATATATATATATAATAATAATGTGTGTGTGTGTGTATTTTAAGTTTTTTTCATCAATTTTTTATGTATAAAAATCATTAGTTATTATGTCTACAAGCATATAACTTATAATAAAATTGGTGAAAATTTTATGATCCTTATGAGCATTAAATGATTTAAATATATCATTGAAATTTAAAATTTTGTTCAATGTAATAAGATTTATTACTTGCTTACTAAATTTATTATTTAATTCTTTCAATTGATAATTATAGTAAACAAATATATCAACACATTAATAATGTTCAATTGCCATAAAATCTTTATGTCAATAAGATTGAATTATATCAAAATAAAAACTATTCATATCATAAATTTTAATAACTTAATTATTTAAAAATTAATGTTTTTTAGAAGAATATCTTTACCAAACCTCTTAACTTTTGGACAAGTAATTTTATGATGGATATTAATCATATAGCATTTAATATATCTTAAAATTTTTGTTGCAATGCTTAACAAAATTTGTTAATAATAATTCTCATAATTTCTTTAATTAAGAGCATGTATAGCATTATCTTATTAAAAATAAGTAGATCCTATGACAATCATATTTTCAAACTATTGAAATAATTTCTCTATACATATATAAAAGACTATATATAAAATTAAAATGAGAATTTTATTTAATATTTTATAACTTTTATAACGTGTCAAGTTATAGGAATCGAAAAGATATAACTCTTACATTTTACTAAGAAAAAAATTTAAAAGTTAGGAGGGTCGTGGCCCCTACCAGTCCCCCATCTCTGCATCTTGAGTACGAATAAGGTTATCTTGATATTGTTAAATTTTTCTTTTAAATTTGGATAAGATCAAAATTGTTAATTAACATTTTAAAATTTTGAGTTCTAAAACTCTTTATTCTTTTTATTTGTTCTTAATTTATTTTTTATTTTTGTGAAGAAGTTTGCTTTGAAATTTGTATGCTAACAAAATTTACTTCTTGGATAATTTTTTTTTATTTAGATGAAAGATCTTGGATTAAACATCCTGGTTGTGACAAGAAGAATTAACAATTCACTTGAACTTTAGTATAAAAAAGTTAACCCTCGTGAATATTATAAGACATTTTCAATAAAATTATACTTTAAATTAATTAATTAATTATCTTTAAAATTATACACTCTTTTTATATTCATCCCTATTTAAAAATGTGTCTTAAATAAAAAATGTTACTAATTACACTCCTAATTAAAAGTATTTTTTAAAAAATATCTCATTAATTGTATCTTAAAAGTCCTAAAGTATCTTATATTTTTGAACATTTTACTTTAAAAAAATATTTTATATTTTTTAACAGGGAAAATATTATATTTTTATAAATCATAATATTTTCTTATTTCAAAATAATAAATTTTATTTCTAACAGTATCCACTGTCATAAATGTAAAATGACAGTTATTATGCATTTATTATTTGTATCTAATTTAATATTTTTTTTGGCTTTTTCCTGGTTTCTCATCATGCAATGAACTTGTTTAGTTTCAGTTGACAAATCCATGTATTGGATGTATCTTTGCCTAAATGGTAATAAACATTGAAAGCAAAAAAAAAAAAATCATATAAATTTAATGTTTGTTGAAAATAGAGTACAACTTGTTTTGGTCAACGAGAGAGAGAAGGGGGGGGGTAATTAATTTGGTTTTAGTTAGTTGATGGTAACTAGGAAGAAAAATGACTGAAAGAACTATACAATTATATATGGAAGTCAAATACAATGGTGGGTGCTGATTCCTCCCCCCTCCCCAGGCCACTCGTCTCACACTCTTTCGTCCTTTTTCAGTGCTGCTCTTGGAAGAATTAGAAAACAGAAAAGCCCACTTTCCATCCATTTCCTTTCAATAATAAATGATAAATAATATATAATGGCTCCCAAAATCCGCATCTTTTAGGCTATTACACTGCGCATTTCTTCCACCACATACAGATATTCTCATTTCTGTCTCTTTTGATTCCTTTTCCCTGTTCTTCAAATTCAACTGCGTTCCATTTTTTTCTTCCCATGGCTCTGAATTTGCCGTCTCCAGCTGAAGTGAAGTCTGTTTTCTTCGCCGAGTCCTTCAAGTCTGGCAAACTTGCAAACCTTCCAGGTTCTTACTCCTTTGCCTGCCGTTTTTCTTCTTCCGGTTCCTCAAAGGAACGTGTTATGCTGGGATATGATGAATTATGTTTCCTTGGCTCGACTTTCCCGAAAATTATGCTATCCTTTTGTGCGTTGTTATTATTGTAATCCAGTTTTCTTGCCTATGCAATTATCTTAATGCTCATCTTCTCCATGTTTTTTTGTCATTTCACGAATTAATGCCATGGATTATGTGCCAACCATTTCTGAGTGCGGACTACTCTTAATGTTCCGGTATTATTCTATATTTCTGATTTATTTTTTTTCTCAAACTGATGTCATTTGATTCTCAGGTGGTTTTGCTTTAAAGAGAAAAGGTTGTGGAACAAAAGTTGGAGGTAGAGTTCATTGCTCCGTGAGCACACCACCTCCTGCTTGGCCAGGACGAGCGGTTCCAGAGGCGGGTCGCGAGACTTGGGATGGGCCAAAACCCATCTCTATCGTGGGCTCCACTGGTTCTATTGGAACTCAGGTATAACTGAAATCTACCTTTTAAAAATCAGCCATACTATAAATTTGAATGGTCTTGTTGATGCAGTTCAAGATAATTGTCACATGCTGGCGCATAACACATCAAACTGAAGATTTCACTTAGTACCTTTTTATCCTTGTGTCTTGTAGACTCTGGATATAGTGGCTGAGAATCCAGATAAATTTAAAGTTGTGGCCCTTGCAGCTGGCTCAAACATCACCCTTCTCGCGGATCAGGTAAACTCCATAATTTAGTCACATAATGAAACTTTCTGCTGCTTTATTTCTCCATCTATGATCAGAACTACAAATTTCTTAATGTAAATCAACTTGACTGAGTTAGCCAGTCATTCCTTCAATATATTATAAATATTATTGCTACATGATTCATGCAGCAAATGGCCTATCTAATTCTTTTTTCTTTATTTTATCTGGGGGAAAAATTCGGGCTCAGTATGTCTTATTTTCAATGTAGAGACAATAGAATTTCACCTTTGCAAATATTTACATCGAACAGGTAAAGACTTTCAAGCCTCAGCTTGTTGCTGTTAGAAACGAGTCCCTTATTGATGAACTCAAAGAGGCTTTGGCTGATGTTGAACAAAAACCTGAGATTATCCCTGGAGAAGAAGGAATCATTGAGGTAGACATCTCAGTCGGTCTTTATGTAGTTTGGCTTCTAGAGCCAATTTTGCCTTTCCTAAACTATAACTACATATTTTCAGGTTGCTCGTCACCCTGATGCAGTATCTGTTGTAACGGGAATAGTAGGTTGTGCAGGACTGAAGGTAACTTTATTCTTTTTTTTTTTTTTTATTTTGATAGATTTCACCCCTTTATAGCCAATCTATTTGCTATGCTATATGCATTTCGTGATTCCCGATCTGGATATAAAGATATTGAGATATTATGCACCTCCATTGCTATTTGTTTCATGTGTTTCTACTGAAAATAGCTAATTTTTATTATGGATAGAAGTTTAATTAGAGAGAAAAGATGTTAACACAATTAGACAAACAACTGAATCTCGTCTTATTATTTTCATAGCCAACAGTTGCTGCTATAGAAGCAGGGAAAGACATAGCTTTGGCCAACAAAGAGACACTGATTGCCGGAGGTCCTTTCGTTCTTCCTCTTGCTCACAAGCATAACATAAAAATTCTTCCTGCTGATTCAGAACATTCTGCCATTTTTCAGGTATAAAACTAGGACATCGCAATATCTGTCAATAGTGTTCAACAAGTTCAATGGACTCTGTATACTCTCGTGTCAATTATTACATGTATTGCTGTGCGCACCTAATGGCACTCTCATAATTGTTCTTCTTGCTGCATTTCTTACAGCTCATAAGTACTGAAGTCAAAAGTATTTTTCTCTGCAGTGTATCCAGGGTTTGCCAGATGGTGCACTTAGGAGAATCATTTTAACAGCATCTGGAGGTGCTTTCAGGTGAGAAAATTAAAAGAGTTTTCATGGTTGTCTAGAGAAGCCTAGATGAAGCATTGCAATTACTTGTCTTGGGGATTAGAAAACAAATTATGTTTTTCTGTAGAAAATGAACTTAATTTTCATAAACGTACGCAGTTTGTAGATGTTTGAATGAGCCATGATCACAATGCTGTGTTTTTATACATGTGAGGCATTTTTCTTTACTGAATCAGAAGGTAACTCAAACAAAAAGATGTCAAATAATCATATCATGATCTGTTTGAACCAATTTCCTTTTATTGCAAACCCTTGTTTTTTTCCTGTTCTTAGTGCACTTTATACGATCCAGAAATCAACTTGCATTTAGTTATTCGTCCCATGACTGGTTGACAGGGATTTGCCTGTCGAAAAACTGAAAGATGTAAAAGTCGCTGATGCATTAAAGCACCCGAACTGGAATATGGGGAAAAAGATTACTGTGGATTCCGCTACCCTTTTCAACAAGGTTTGGCTATTTTGTGTGTCAATATTTGGGGTGGAAAACTGCATTCTTTGGATCTAATAATTTGCCGTGAATTTTGTAGATATAAGAAATATTCTTCCTTTTTTTGGCAGGGCTTAGAAGTAATTGAAGCACATTACTTGTTTGGAGCTGACTATGATAATATTGAGATTGTCATTCATCCGCAATCTATCATACACTCAATGATCGAAACTCAGGTTTAATTCTTTTACTATGTTATGTTGCCTGCTGCTTGTTACACAGGAAACTAACATGCTGAATGATTATATATAAAACTTCTAGGCCCTTGGGCCAAATAGTAAAAGGATATTGGTTGAGGTTATATTGTATTAAGTTTAAATACATTAACACGGAAAAAGCAACACAAGGAAGGAGTAAAAGATCATTAATACTTGTTTTATCTTTTTCTCATACTAAATTATTTTTCTGTTTTCAGGATTCATCGGTTCTTGCACAGCTGGGGTGGCCTGATATGCGGTTGCCAATTCTCTATACGATGTCTTGGCCTGAAAGAATTTATTGCTCTGAAGTAACTTGGCCTCGTCTTGATCTGTGCAAGTACTGTCATTCTCCCTGCAACTTGTAAATTTTGACTTTTTTTGAGTTTATGAAAGTGATGAATCTTCTTTGTTATATTAACATCGTTAAAGTTTGGGGAAGTATCAAATTGGATTTTGTAGGAATTTCAAGTTAACTTATTAACCCCTACCGTGAATGGGCAGATAATCTCATCTCCTTTCCCTCTTTGGCTTGCCTGGTTTCATATAGGATTGTGTTTTTTTTTTTTTTTTTCATTTCTAAGTGTAACTTGAGAAGTTTCATGGTTATCGTCATCCATTTCTTAAGCAGCATCTTGGGAAAAAGCTGCTTAAAATACGCTTGATATAATTACTACCCCAGTGCGGCTAATATTGTGACGTATATCCTATGTATGGTATATTAGGTAGTTAATCGAATTGACATACTTTGCAAAATTAGATTGCTAATTTGACGTAGCTACATCTGAAATGTAATTATACAGGCTTGGTTCTTTAACATTTAAAGCTCCTGACAACGTGAAGTATCCGTCTATGAATCTTGCCTACGCTGCTGGACGTGCTGGAGGCACTATGACAGGAGTTCTCAGTGCAGCTAACGAGAAAGCTGTAGAGATGTTTATTGATGAAAAGTGAGTCCCTCAATTCCTTATTTCATTGACGATTTCATTGTGTATATACTCAATTCCTTGTTTCTGCGGACTTGTCAAACTTCAGTCTCACTGAAATTGTTCTTATATGATGGGAGAGAAAGAAATGAAGATATGGAAAATGTGAACCTTTGATAAGTCCAAGGTTCTCATCTTTGTGTGATAAAAAATGCGTTGGGTGATAAAAGTGAAAAATAATGAATGATCATTTGCATGCACTCTGTCTGAAGGGAGTAAAAAGCACTAACAATACGTTTTCGAAGTTCAACCTGGAACGTGAAACAGTATCTGAAGAACTTTGCATTTCCATTGCTTAGTAGCATTTTCTAGTTAACCTATGTAAATCCACGCCCTTGGTTTTCTTTGTTTAAAGAGAAAAAAACCACAATGAAATTGTTAATTCATTCTCATTAGATTTGTCAGTATATATTTCTTGACTTCTGTAGCTTCTTATAGATGAAGGATTGAATTCCATATACTGATATTGTATTTTGATTAAAAATAATATAATCTGATTGTTTGGTTAATTGTCATATGGGTCTGCAACGGACATGTCATTGACTGCGGCAGTTCTTATCCTATGTTTTATTATGCTTATAGCTCTTGATTGCTAGGGCATGCAACTGTTACTGTAGGCTTGGTCTTGTGAATATGAATTGTCTTCTGATAGGGCTTCTTGGGTGTTTCCAGGATTAGCTATCTGGATATTTTCAAAGTTGTGGAGCTAACATGCGAGGAACACCAAAAGGAATTGGTGTCCTCTCCTTCTTTGGAAGAAATTATCCACTATGATTTGTGGGCGCGAGAATATGCAGCAAGCTTGCAAAACTCCTCCAGAATGACCCCTATTCTTGCATGACATCACTGCAGATTAAGAACTGGGGGATTTCATGGCTTCTTGCTAAGTGCAACCATGTTTCACCATTATTTTTGTTGGCATCCAGCAACTCTACCATTTGTATAATTGTTGCATGTGTCAAGGTTTTGCTAGAAATGGCTTTCAAAAATGTATCGCAGTTCATTCCTCAGTTGAATAAGAAAAAAGGTTTTGTTTTAATGGAGTAGTGTATCTCAGTTCATTCATCATTATTGTTGCCCAAAAGGTTCAATTCTAAGGTCTTAACATCTTCATCATGATTGTAGTATCTGGTCAAGTCTAACATGCGCAGCACATTTGCTCCGTTAATTGAAAGCGACCAGGGAATCAGCTTTTGATTAATCGGATCAGGTATCAGAGTTTGATTAAGACAGCAGCATCTTTCAACTAACGTTAGTTTGGACAGATTAGTGATTCCACGTTTGTCTCACTTCATGTTTAGGACCAAACAAGTAACTAAGTAAAGTGGTTTTCATTAGACTGTGGATTACGTCATTTTCGTCAAATAACAAAGCAAATGAGCCAACGGATTTCACTCGTGAATCATACATAACGCCTCCAGCTTCTGTAACAATAGTAGCATCGGCTACATTCCTGAAAAGCACAATTAGTTTCTGCTTACAGGATGCATTAATTGATTGAAATGAACTTATAAAACGAAGTGCATAAAGTTTTGAATTGATGCCTTGTGGTACATTATATTCAGAATAACTAAAAATTTTATAAGGTTGAAACTAGAGTATAAAACCATGTCATAAATTAAATTTTTGTTGCGAATCATACCAGCAACCGCTATAGCCAAGATGAAAGCATATATCCAGGCTTCCATATGGAACCCCACAGAGGTCAAAATCAAAGGAAATCCATGCTCCAAGGGATGTCACCTAATCATATGTAGTTATCAGTTATCACAGTTAACTAATTGCATTCCACTCTACTTCATAAGAAAGTTTAAGGGTTGTGTCCAGCTTCATGTCAGAAACTATCAAAACAACCAAAACGTTGTTTTGAATCAAAATGTATTTTTGATAATTTTCAATGTGAAACCAAACATACACTAAGTCATACCTCAGTATCATGAAAAAAGTTTGATAGTTCCCGTTTAGATTATAAATCTGCATAAGTTCAAGACATACCCTTTCCTCATATGCCACTGCAATGCTAACATACGGCCATTTCAAACATATCATCACAAAGGATAATACATTAAAAGACTTAACCTTGTTAAATACTAATAGATAATTTAATTTTGTATATTAAAAAAACGAACTAAATAGTGATAAATAAATATCACTAGCTAGGAAAGCGTGAAGAATGTGAAAGATCGGTCACCTCATTGGATAAGGTAAGGCCAATGTAGATAAAACGGAAAACAAACCTACAAATAGAAGTAGGATCAACCGTGCGCGCGCGTGTAGTTCTATAATATACGGTGTCAGCATGCAAATGTCCATCTACAAATGAGAATATATAGATAGATAGATTCATATTTACCTGTGCACAAAATTTGAGCCATCAACTATCCACTTAGGTTCATCTGTTAGTTCTGTAGCACCATAAGCTCCGCTGGTTGCTTCACAAATCAACTGATAAGATCATCATGAATGAACACTTCATGTTAAGATTTCAGAGAAAATCACAATAATAACGATGTCGTGTGAGAGGCCATGGTGGAATGAAAACGCAGAGCAATGCAGACCTGTTCATTGTGCTCCACAAGCCTGGTCGACTCGAAGAAGGCTTCTCGGATGATCTGGAATCAATGTTCAGGCAAAAGAGATGAATAGATCAGTAAAAACTGAATCGAAACGTAAATTGTACATAGAGTGGAATTCATGAATAGTATTGATGAGTAATCGACAATTAAACCTCGGCAGCTTTCTTTGCAGATGCCACCAATTCCCACAGCCTTTGTTTCAATTACGACTATACCACATTATACAAAAACAGATGTCAAACTATAAACCCAATTTTTCTGTGCATTGATTTTCTATTCGATTATTGTTCAGTGTTTAAATGTTGTATTCCAGCCATTGGACTGGATGCTTTTTTTCCCTGTCATCAACTCATTATTTCATAAATTAAGTGAAAGTAGGATTATAAATAAATAAAATAAAAAAATAAATAATATTTTATAAATAAATGAACAATATACAGTATGTGAATAATCAAGTCATTTATGTTGTTCATTTAAATGAGGATAATTTTATTATATCTATCACAAATTGAAACGAAAATCTGTATGAGTGCTTCAATAAAATTTTAAAAATTTAAGAATTATCTTTTGTATTATGTTTGATCAAGGATCCCTCATTAAAATTTCTCCTAAATTGTATATCAAACGCCTTGTGCACGAGGGACCCGTATAATCTCAAAGAATATCAAAAAGTAACTTCTTTCTAGGTCCGTCTTTGATTAGGACATCCCATGTTCTAAGGAACCTCTCTTTCTCTCACCCGCACATCCACAAAAAAAAAAAAAAAAAAAAACCCACATGTAATGATATAAGTTATTATTAACAAATTTATATTTATAAAAAATTAATTAAAATATTTTTTTAAATTTTCACATCGTTTCAATCATACTCTTGAATCTAAAAATATAACATTTGATTAACTTGAAACACTTTCATTAATTACTCAAGAAAATAAGGTTTTAATAATTTAAAAATATATATAATGCCTATTCAATAACTTGTAATTTAAATTGAGTAAAGCTTATAAAACATGTCTTATATTATCATTTTGAGAGTATATAGCAAGAAAGTGAAACGTTAATTGATGTTGAAAGATCAATTCAAATCAATGTTTAATATTCTGAAATGATTTGAATGCGTTCATGATTTCTTTTTCCAAATAAAGATTATTTTCCTTCATGTGGGTTATTTTCCAAATAAAGATTATTTGGCAACATTTAAGACCTAGCCAGATGGCAGCGGGACATTTCAAAATAAAAGAATGATATATTTTTTAATTCCTTAAATTTATCTAATTATTAATTTAATTTTTTAAATTTAATTTTTATTATTTTAGTCATTTAAATTTATTTCAGTTATCGATTTAATTCTTATTATTTTAAAAAAAATTACGCTATTAAAATTTGCTAACATAATAATAGAATATTGATGGAAGCCATGTAGATTAATAAAAAAGAAGTATAGTTATTTAGGTAGAGAAAAATAAACTCTAAAATTTTAAAAAATAAAATAATAAAACACAATAAAAAGAATTATATTGATATTAATTATATTAATTTAAGGATTAATTTGTTCTCATTTAATTACACACACATGTAAAGTCATTAATATACTTTTCACATTAGATTATTTTGATAATTAATTTGTGTTTTAAAACTTGAAGGATTCACATAATAATTTAAGAAAACATAAAATATCAAATTGATAAAATTTAAACTTAAGGAACCAAATCAATAACCAAAATAAATTTAAAATATTAAAACTTCCATTATCTCCCAAATAAACAACGAGCACATATGCATCTCATACACATTTGATGCGATACCTATCCCAATTTTTTTTTTTATAGACAAAGAAAGCAAAAATAAAAACTACTGCCCTACAACATACTAGTAAGAAAGGAGCAAGCATCCTTCCCATGTATTTTACAATACGCAAAACATGATGATGATTAAAAATTAATGTTTTAAAACAGCTAAAATTTAGTTGTTCATGATTAATACATTATATTATTTTTGAAATAATTATTTAAAGCTCAAATATTTTTATACTGTATATTTTTTATTTTTTTATGCATATGTTGTCTTAAAATTGGGGACATATACATATTATCATACCTGATGCACATGTCGTGTATATGTGCATTTATAGTTAAAGATGCAATTAATGTATTTAAATAAAATTAATTATCTAAACTAATACAGTTAGTTTTAAAAAAAAAGACTAGTCATTTACGATGTGGCAAATCAAGTTTTGAATTCTTGCTGAAAGGTGCCTATGTTTAGCATTCCACAATACCTCAAATAGGATTACCTCCTATTGGAGGATACTTATTGCCAACAAAAAAATAAGTATCCCTTCCCTCTTAAATTATAAGATACTTTTGAAAAAGATTTTATGTCCCAAAATATAAGACACTTTAAGAAGATTAAAATTTTATTAAATAGGCTTATTTAATATTACCCTCTCTCTATTTAATATTAATTAAGTGTAGATTTAAGATTATTAAATAAAGGATATTTTTGAAAGTTTATACTACCTCTGTTTCAAGTTATAAAGCACTTTTGAAGGAGTTTTTTTATCTCAAAATATAAAAATACTTTGATAAATTAAGATTTCATTAAATGCATTAATTTTAATACTATCTTTTTTTCTCTATAATTAATTTTTTCCTTTCTCTTTTCAATATATTAAATAATAGGTATTTTTAAAAGTTTATATTTTTGTTTTGAAAAAAATAAGGTTGTTAATATATTTAATGAGGTTTATTAGTATGTGAGATTTTGTCTAAAAATATCTTATAATTTGGGATGGATGGAATATTTTTATTTTGAAAAAAAAAGATTGTTAAGTATATTTAATGAGGTTTATTAATATGTAAGCCTTTGTCTAAAATATTTTATAATTTAAAAAAGAAGGGGTACTTCTTTTGAACCATAATATAAATTGCTTTTTAAAAGTATCCTCTAGCCTAAAATATAAAGGGTATTGAGTAAATTTTATATTCAATTATACCATTGTTTTTTTCATTCCTTCTCTTTAAATACTCCATATTTAAAAATCATGAATGTGTTATTAGAAATTTTTGAAAGGACATAAATAAAAAAATGTGGACTTTTTTTAAAAAATTAATATTTTAACTAATATTTTTTGTGAATAATAAATTAGTTACCGATAATATATATTGCGGTCGTTAATTACGCTGGTTCAACATTTCTATTTCCTGATACAGATAAGCTCCAAGTGTACGGAATACGGCAGGCATACAAGAGGTAGAGGAGTAAGGTGCATCAACAACGTAAGCAAAGCAGAGGTTGTCACTTGTGATGTCTGGATTTCGCCTTCCCTATTGAACACACCAAATACTTCTGGTCCCACCATCGGATTCACGACAAGTAATATGGTCCATCGTTTCTCACAAAGCTTGCTTGCGTTCCTCGTGATTTTCCCTTCATTTCTGCAAAGAATCATCTCTTATTTTCTT